CCATTGGCCTCCTATGTGAGTGTGACTGAGGCTCTCTCATGTTGGTGTAAGCCCATTATTGCATTGCGTATGCCATTTCATGCATCGCATTATGTGTGCTCGGTTGTATATTACCTCGTGCAGCGTATATGTCATTCCATGACATTGTGTATGTTAGGATTGTATCTTAGTTGCATTTCACGCATGTCATGCATATTGCATCGTGTTCGGGATAGGAGTTAGCTCGGGCACGGGAAACGAGGTGCATTTCGTACTCCGAGTGACGAAACGTGTCTCAATTCCCTAGTCACCGACACTCCGGATTATCCATGATGGAGTTAGGTCTTGTTGTGTTTTCGTGTGCATTCATTTCATATTAAACTGTGCAATTCGACTCCTCGGCCATCATGCATCGACATGCGTGATTGGTGGCATGAGGATCGAGGCATGCATATATTTGTGAAAATACATTGCTATGCCCCTTTCCTGCTCTCTGTTGCAGCAAATCAAGAATCAGCGGTCTTCCGAGGCTTGGCACGCATTTCAAGAACAGGTGCAAACAGAGGCTAATTGGGGCATCGTCATGGATTTCCGCGCAGAGGCAACCCGGGCATGCATCATTCATCACCCGGAATGGAATCAAGGCAGTCCCTGGCTTGAATGCCAGTTTATTTATTTTCTTAGTTAATTTGTTAATTAATTAGGAATTTGTACATATTTGGACTGTACTATTCTTTCATTCGGGACTGTATATTTATTCGGACCCTCTGTGCGAGGGCATAATTGTAATAAGTGTGCGTGTGTGTGTTGTATGTCTTCCAACACCATGTCTTTCTCCCTTTTATTTACCCACTTATGATGGTTAGATTAGGGCATATTTCAACTAGCATACAGTATGATAGCATGTTTGCATTCATTCATCTGTTTTGCATGCACCGAGCTTGGCACATCATACTAACTGCATTGTATTTTCAATTTCAAATTGAATACATGTTAGCTGTTGCATCTCATATGCCATGTTTAGAATAGCCGAGCCTGCTATAGTTGCATTTTGCATGTGTTGCATTAGGCATTTCTGTATAATTAGGATCTTGCATGGATTTCTAATTAGCTTTTGTTTTGGCTTGGAGTACTCGGTGAGTTTTATGCTTTAGCATCCTGGCATGCGTGTGAGTGACTGCTATGAATAGCATGCTTGCCATGAGGCTATGTGCTTATGTGATATAACTGCCTGAATGCCTGTGGGTGAAGGTTAGGTTGTTTAGATTGGAACAAATCATTGACTGTGAGTTTTAAGCCCACTAGATAGTGGCAAAACCATCTTTTCTAAAGCCCACCTGTAGGTGGCAAAATCTACATTTTAAGCCTACTTGCGAGTAGCAAACCATCTTTCAAATAAACAAGCATGAAATGTTTTGTTCCAATTTAGGCGACCCGGTCTATATTTGTGTGCTGTGCGCATCACATAGTAAATCTAGGCTAATAACCGAGATAAGAACACACAATGTTTTCAAAAATTGATATCATGGTTAGTAGAGGCCGGTCTTCGGACCGGGCGAAAGGGGGTGCTCATAGCTGACCTTCCCCGATCGTACCTAAGCTCCCGAGCCGAGACAACTCCGGTGATGACGGACATGTGGCCTTCGGCACCGAGTCTGGGTTTCCTAAATTTCCCCATTTTAAAATATTTAGGTGGCGACTCTGTATCTGGCAAAGCAGTCCATGTTTGGCACTTCTTTCAAAATCTGTTTTCTCAAAACGATTTGCCGGATTTGGACTCTTTGGTTCAGATTACGAACCGTGACAATTTGAGAGTCCTGAGCTTTAGTGACCCCAAATGAACGGAACGGGAGCTCGTTCCTCCCGGGGCGTTTGGGGACGTCTACAGTTTCTGGCGACTCTGCTGGGGATTTGGAGAACTTGACTCGAACTCTTGATATCTGTTTTTTACTGCACTTGTGTGTCTCTTTGCATTGCATTTGCATTGGTACACCTAGGACACCGTGTTTGCCATCTGCTATTCCTGAACGGTTTGCCGGAGGCTTGTCTTGTCAAGGCATGACCATAAGGCTGACCGGTTGTGGGCTCTGCCAGTATGGGAACACAAACCCCGGTTTTACCGAGGCACCCTCTTTGACCATTCGACCTAGTGCATATTCGGATCCATAGTGACCATTCCAAACTAGGACAGGTTGCTTACCCGTTTATAGGTTGTTTGAAACCGCTGCGTGCGTAGTGAAACCCTAGCTCCTGACAAAATAGGACAAGGAAACCCTACCCCAACATAGGGGTGTTTTGGCTCTCACTTACATGTTATGTGCTTTTGGGGTGCGTCTCCATACGAATGCATGTATCAGTTTACAGGGTTTGGGCATCAGGCCTGCGGGCATCAGTTCAGTATTGTCGGTATCAGGCCTGCGGGCATTACTATCAGTATTTGGGAGTCAGCTTTACCTGTGGGTATCAGACTCAGATTTGGGGCAGAATATTGGGGCAGAATTCAGTAGAGAGTACACTCACTCAGCTTTACTCCTGTGGGTTATCGTGAAATCAGGCTGAGATGCTGTCTGTTTTCTCTTTTGCTAGGGTAGTCAGGGAACCATTGCTTCAGAACGCTCCGATATCCCCCGAGGTTCATCGAACTTGTGCTGATAGACTTTGCTAGGTCAGAGATTCAGTTCAAGGGCAATCAGTGTTCCTCCGCCCTACTGCAGGAATAGATACCAGTCAGTCAGATGGATCAGCAGAACACGTCAGGGATGGAGGCAATGATGCGCCAGATGCAAGAAAGTATGGAACTCATGCAGCAGGATGCTGCCCGTCAGGAGGAATTTGCCAAACAGCAGGCTGCGATCATGGCTCAGCAGGCCAAGCTCATCATCAAGCTGCAACAGCAAAACGGCGCGCCCGCTTCACAACAAGATCCTCCCCCAGCAGGAGCTCCAGCACCTGGGGAGACGCCAAATGTCCAGGGTGGTACGGACATTCCGGTAGGGCCGGCTCCGCCCCCAATTTTACCCCAACTATCCAAAACACCTACCAATCTACCGAACTCTCCCTTCGAGTTCGAGGTCGACCCCACAGTGTTGAAGTTGAGCAAGCTTGAAAAGTTGTTCAAGAAATCCCAGGGGGTAAAGTCCATCCCGGGCATTGAGGACGGGTACACCGACGCAGCTGTAACTCTGCCGGACAGGTTCAAGATGCCTCACATCGACCGTTTTGATGGGTCAGGAGATCCCATGGTCCACCTGAGCTTGTTTTCAGATGTTTTGCGCCCGATGGGCCTGACCAGATTACAGAAGCTCTCCCTTTTTGGCAGGACCCTGTCGGGTATTGCGGTCACCTGGTATGCCAAATTGGAGGATTCAGTGGAACAAAGCTGGGAGGAGATGGCCGAGGCCTTCGTCGCACAATATTCATACAATACCCAAATCGAGATTACGACCCGTGATCTTGAGACGATGAGGCAGGAGCCGAAGGAGAGCTTCTCAGAATTCGTAGCCCGCTGGAGGGCCAAGGCTTCAATGATGACCCTTAGGCCCACTGACAAAGATCAAATTTAGATGATTGTACGCAATCTGCAGCCCAAGCTAATGGAAAAAATGATCGTGATCCCCTTCCCTACCTTTCCAGACTTGCATGAGATGGGAGTGCAGATCGAGGATGCTATGAAGCAGGGCCTCTTTGACCAGGAGAAGGAACAGCCCAAGAGGGCGTTTACCCACAGTTCGAATGCGACCACCAGCGGTGACGCAGCTATAAGAGCTTCCGAAGTGGGCATGGTCACCGCCACCGCACCAAAAACAACCACCCCATCCACCGATGCATTCGGGAGTAGCTCGCAAGCGGCCAAATATCCACCCCAAGCTAAGAAGGTTTTCACCCCACTTTATATGCCTTTGTCAAAGGCTCTGGGGTTTTGATCAAGAAAGGGCATCTGAAGCCCCTGGAGCCGCAGCCATTACCAAAGAACCTCCCTCTCTCGCACAACCCAGCCGACTACTGTGCCTTCCATCAGCGAGCCGGCCATGACACTGACATGTGCTTTCGTCTCCGCCACGAAATACAAGATCTGATCGACAACGGGGTCATCCCCGCACCAGGTCCTGCGAAGTCTATCGGCACTTGATCAGTGAACTTGGGGGATAACGTGATGTGATTGGGAGGATGAACCACCTGCGGGCAGCGCTCAGTTTACTCCAGATATGGTGGATGGCATGCACTGTTTTGAAGCATTTGCGAATGATAGCTTTTGTGCTTTCTGACTTGGGCATTGGGTCTGTCTTGTTGTATCGAGTCAGTCCTGTTAGGAATCGGGTGATTCCGGGGGGTGTTACCTCAAGCGTCACCAATTTGTTTTGTGTTTGTCATTTCATTTTGTTTTGAGTCTGTTTCTGCCAGGGAACCAGTTGTGCCAACAGATTTGAATAAAATAGCAGTGATCTTCATGCTCTCGCATTTGCTTCTGCCTTGTGCCAGTTATGCCGGAAGTTCTGAATGAGACGGCAGTATTTGACTAAAGAACTCTGTCTTTTCTGTGCCTTGAAATCATTGTATCGACCTAAGTTTTTCAAAACTTTTTTGAGCACTGCAGTGAAAACGAAGAGGAAGGAATTCCTCGGGTTTTGCAAAAATTTGATTATTTGAGAGAAATAGAGGCGTGCTAAGCCTTTAACGAATGGAATCATGCTTGTTAGCGTGAGTACTGAGAAGGACCCTGGCTTGATCCAGACTGGTTTCACACTACCTTCAACGCGAGCGATTTGTCGCTTCCTTAAAAATTTTTCAAAAAAACAAAATGTTTTACGCGGCCTTGCGAAGACCTGTGTGGAATCACTCCTGAGATTGTGCAGCCTAGGATCGCTCTCAGCCTCGAGACTCAACCCCTTCGCTTCCAAACCTTGAAATTGAATTCAGAAGGTTCAACGATCAACTACGATGTGAGGCCTGCGTGGCCAGATTCAAAGCAGCCCTCGAACAAGAGGCAAGAAAGTTTTTTTCCTGTTTTAATTTATGATTTATTCACCCAAAAAAAAAAAAAAAAAAAAAAAAAAAGTCTTGGGTTTAGGGGAAACACCAACATCGTCATGCATAACAAAGTCTATTTATTTCTTTATAATAACTGTTAGTTAATTAATATATACAATATAGTAACATCACATAATATTGTGTTCTTGTTATTTAATTATTATATAATACTACTACTACTATATTATTGCTACGTTAATGTTCTATCCATTATTATAGGTATTATCATTATGCCATGCCACTGATTTGAGCACTAACTTCTTAAATTAATAGCGTCTGAAAAAGCTAATGCCGTAAAATTGCTTATTTGACTATAAGTCTAGGACACTTGAACAGATAAAAACTCTCTTTTTATTGGATGATGGAAAAATAAATTAGTTTTTCTAATTGTAAAATTTTGATACATGATCACAATTGTATAGTGTTGTGTTAGAGATATGTTTTTGACAAATGACTTTAAACATAATATATTGCTAACATTGCTTTTCACGAAATGATGATAGCAAACATAACATAATAAATTTTAGATCACCCTTTAAGCACCATCTTGTGAAACTAAGTTGAATGAGGGATAGTTTGTTATTGACAGTTTTATGTGAGTTTCCAGAATATTGAAGCAATTGACAGATGAGCAAACTTTGAAAGATATGTTGTTATTCTGTGCTTTTTAAGGACTTGAAGTAGTGAAATGTTGAGTTTCCACAAATTTTCCAGTCAGAAAGGCATAAACAAGATCTCTTAGCTGAGATAGTTTTGGAGGAGCAACGTGGTAGGGAACTATCTAAATTGTAACAGAATTGCTTCCTAATACAAAGAGCTCTACAATTGTGGATAAACCATCCCGGGCCTGAAAGGTATGGTTCTCAATCTCCATGTGTAAACTGCAGGATCTGTCTTTAGTCCTTGTTGAGAGTAGTGATGATAAAGTGTTCTATTAATTTCAATGCTTCTGCAATTTGCTAGAGGAGTAATGACAGAAATAAGGTGTCTAAACGATTGACTGAAGAAGCAGAGAAATATTTTGAGGACTTCATTTCAAATGTTGAAGATATTAAAATTTCTTTATTTGATGGAGAAAGGAGTGATGCAAGTTTGACTTTAGGAGTAACAAAGACTAGAGATGCAGTGTCACATTCTAGGGAAACAGAAACAATTTATAATACAGCAGGATCTAATTCTCTTCCTATTGAAATGGATGGTGTTATTCTGCCTTGGTTGCAGTAGGAGACCGCCAATGATGGTCCCCCTCTTCCATCGAAGAATAAGAAAGAGCTTCCTGGGACTCTAAAAAGTATCTTATGGGATGCAACTTAGGTAACCTTCAAACTGTCACATAGTTGTAATATTTTAATTCATAAATTGTTGTTCTAACCTTTGCTGACTAAAAGTTATTGCACAGAACATACTTTCATTTAGTTGTAAGTTGACTACTTCACTGGCTTACAATACTTTCATTTAGATGTAAGTTGTTTGCTTCATTGGTTTATAAGAAATTAGTTGCCTTTTGTACTTGTGATAAGAATTATACAATATCAACTCTTCAGATTTTAAATTAAGGTTGGTAAATTTTTAAACAAGATTTTTTTAGCTGAAATTTTAAGTTTAATAGAACTTTATATTTTATAGGTTGAAATTTGACAGCATATAGAACATTGAAAGGGGAAAATAAACAGACTTTACAATCTTCTCTTTTTTTTTTTCTTTTTTTTTTGGATAAGTACAGACTTTACAATCTTTACACGTGCGTATCTTAAAAGTGAAAATTTTAAGTTGGTACATGCAGTTTTCAAACTCTGACTTTTCTCAATTATTTGGTCATGTCTCATTTGAGTTTTAATTGTTTTACAAAATTGTTCAAATGGCATTTATATAGGCAAACATGATGTGGTTACAATAATTTATGTTTGTATTTGCTTGAAGTCAATGCTATTGCTGTGTAATAAAATGTTGCTTAGTTGCCAATGCATTCAACCCAAACTGTCTACCAATCCTTTAGTTGTCCAACCACCCAAGCAACTGGGTTGACTTGGGGCATCATGCTGATATCAAAATGCCTATTAACAAACATAATTAGCAAAAAAGATGAGAAATAATTTGAAGACAAATTATGATGACCTTGATCTAGTGCACTGTTCATAGCCCTATTGGTGCCACAAGATCCATTTAAGGAAATGCTAATTTACTTCACTCTGTTTTTTATTTTGTTTTCTTTGACTAGTAAATAATTCTTCAAGTCTACTGCCATCTCCACTTATTGAAAGGCTTTAAACTCCATTCTGGTTTTTAAAACATTGATTATAGAACAGAATGTGTTTCACTCAAACATTATTTATAGGATATAGTTTCAACACTTTTTTGCATCACCCATCAATAGGGAATTTCGGGTCCTCAATTCAATATTGCTCATATTAATTTGCATTTTTTTCCTCTAATTAAATTCTTAGATTTTGACCATCTGTTTTTGGTTGCTTGGAATATTAGTTAGGTGATTAGATTTGCTGCAGAACCATGTTCTGCACTTTTTTTTTTTTTTGTTGCAACAATGCGAAACTCATTTAGGCCATTATTCATGGGTATAAAATGGATGACTTGCAAATAAGCATGCATTGTGGCTGTAACCAAAAGTTAATGGTGGCAAGGAGAGAATCTGTTGAGTGGATTTTAAGGGTTAGGAGTTAAAAGGATGTAACCAAAAGTAAAAGCCATGTGTGGTACAATTAACTCTTTATACAACAGAAATGGGTGATCATGAGCAAGATGGGGAAGCAATTGAGCTTGCCTTCAGTAAGAAGAAAATTGAAGCAAGGAAGAATTGGCTCCGACAGTTTGAGGTTGGAAGTTAAATTTCTTTCTTCCATAAAATCTAAGGTGTTCTGTAATTGTTCTTTTTCTAATAACACTTTCTTTGTCTATGTGATTTGTAGCCTGGAACTTACCTTGATCAGAAGGAGAAGGTCATCAAGTACAGTGATTTTGTCAACAAAGAGCTTTTATTGTTTTCTATGGCAGATCTTCAACGGTCAATTCCTTCAATGGTTGATGGCCTAAAACCAGGTCAAAGGAAGATTCTTTTCTAGAATATTCAGTTAATGCTAATTACTATACAATTTTTTGAAACTCTTGTTTTACATCATTCTCTCCCTTTAGGAAAAAAAACCTCACCCTTGATTTACTATGAATCGAAACTTCATACGTTTGAGCTTGTCTGCATCTATCTTATAGTTAAGGATAATCTTTTCACATACTTGACTTTGGAAAAGTGTAACTCCTCTTGGGATGATTGTTGAATGCATATGTCACATAAAGGATACTTGCTCCCATCTATGTGCATTCTCTCTTAGTTCTTTTAGGAAATAACAATTCCTTGAATTCTTAAATTACTTAAGCAAGGAATTTTGGCATCTTCTTAAAAACCCTTCTTTTCATTAGTTCGGTCAAGGTCGTACACTTTAGTAGGACAAGGAAAATAACTAAGAGCATAGTCAAAAAGTGGTTGCACACCTTTGTTTTTAATTGCACTGCCCAATAATACAAGAACAAACTTCTGCGCTGTGGTAGCCCTCCGGTTTTCCTCTGTTATTAAGCCATCAGTTGGTGAATATTTTGAACTACATAATTTGATCTCATCTTGCAATTTGACAAATTTTTTTTTTTTTTGTTTGACGAATCTTCACTTTCTGTAACAAGACTTCCAACTTTTGCAATAATGTCTTGGATTTTTTCTTGGTATACTTTCAAGACTTTTTCTTCATTTATTTCTTGGACACGAGACAATATAGATTTGTCTTCAAACGTGAGCCCTTCAAGGATAGTTTCGACATAAGTATTAATAGTATGGTGCTTAGGCTTGTATTTTTCCTCCAATAATTGCTCATAATTCCATGGCAAAAAAATCTCCATTATATGCCTTTTCATTCTTGACCATGAACGAATACGCACCTTGCCTTGTTGCTCTCTTGATGATTGCAAATCTAACTATCACCAAAGTGCAGGACCTGTAAGCTTTAATAACACAAACCTCTACTTTTATTTGTTTGGAATTTTCATATTTTCAATATATATATATATATCTAGTATCCAATCTAGAATATCTTAAAATATTCACCACCACTAAATTTAGGTAAATTTTCATGATCTCTATAATCTTGATGATAAGAAAAGTCCACGAGCAAAAGTTGTTGCGGTCAAAGAATGGAAGCAGCCCACGAACCCTACAGAGGTGAGAAGTTTTTTAGGACTAGCCGATTATTACAGGAGATTTATAGAGATGTTTTCCACTGTTGCAGTACCTATGACCAAGTTGACTCACAAGAATGTGAAGTTCTTATGGACAGATAATTGTGAGAAAGATTCCAGGAGTTAAAGCAACAGTTAACTACAGCTCCGGTGTTAACTATACCGATACAAAGGGAAAAGTTAGTAGTGTTTACTGATGCGAGTAGAACTGGTTTGGGATGTGTGTTGATGCAGCATCAGAAGGTTGTATCATATGCTTCTTGACAGTTAAAACCTCATGAGAGGCGATACCCTACTCATGTCTTAGAGTTGGCAGCAGTTGTTTTTGCGTTGAAAGTGTGGCGACACTACTTGTTTGGAGAGCACTTTGAGCTGTACACTAATCACAAGAGCCTCAAATATCTTTTTTCTCAAAAGGAGTTGAACATGAAGCAACAAAGGTGGGTTGAATTCGTCAGTACTTATGATTTCGAAATCCTTTACCACCCAGGGAAAGGAAATGTGGTCGCAGATGCACTTAGTAGACAACATGGGATTATAGCTTCTTTGATGATTCAAGAATGAAAGTCCTTGGAGTTAATTTCGATGCATGATGTTCAACCTATAGAGAGTGCTGAGAGGGCATAAATTAGTAGTTTGACCGTGCAGCTGACGTTACTGGGTAAAGTTTGTCAGATTTAGAATTTAGATAAGTTTCTCGTTAGCACGCTCGATGACTTTGTAGTGGATTTGATCGATGATTGTCCTACTGATTGGTCTGTGGACTTAGATGGGGGATTGCGATTCAAGGGCATGTTGGGTGTACGCTCTAATGGTAATGGTGACCGACGGGCTGGAAATAGGGCTGTTTCTTCGGTATGTTCTTACCCTGTTTAAGTTATTTTCTTTTTGAACAATAATAAAGATATTGATTTTTTTCATGGTTTGGGTAGAGAGTAACTTCAACAAAGGGTTCAAGGCCAGATTCAATCATGTCTGTTCACGAACCAGACGTGCACCCTCCCCAACATATTTCTTAACAAGTTCACGAAGCTAAATTGTACAAGACTGCTTGGCAGTATGAGCCATTTTTGGGAGGATTAAATATTTTTGGATGGATGTGTATGGATAACAAATATTAGTAGTTTTATTTGTTGATAGCTGCGCATGGATAACAAATAGTTATGTTTCAAATTGTTATGCTAGATGGATGTGACTTGTGAATGAAAACTTAGAATAGTTGTATTGTGTCGAATGTTAATGAATTATGTATTGTGATTGAATGTTAATGATTTAGTTAATTTGAATGATGCTTTAAAATTATAGGTTTATTATGGATTGAATGAATTATTAGGAATTGCAGGTGTATTGTTTTCTTGCTTTGGCGACCAATTTATTAGTCGCGACATCCAAAATAAGATTGTATCCAAAATGGGATGGCTCAGGAATTTCCTACCTTGAGCAATACTACAGGGCTAATAAGATTGTATGTTTGATGATTATATAATTTATAATGTTCAATATTTATAGTGTGTACAGGTGAGTTTCATCCTGAGTTTAATTTTATTAATTTTTTTCGTATTTAGGGTTTTGAGAAACTGCAACATGTCTGGTGAAATCCCAAAATATATTTGGAAAATGATGAATCTGCAAATGTTGTAAGTAAAGCATGTTAAGTTTTGGTGAATGATTTTTATTTGACCTTCAGTGTTTACGAGAGAGGGGTTGCTGGACGCAGTCAAAATTGTTGTGAATTTAGCAATTTGCTTCCTGAATTATTTTATTATTTGAACTACTTCTATCTAAAGCAAGTAATGGAAGGCTAACTTTGCACAAATCCTGATTTTGTGGAACAGGGGTAGTCTATACCGCCTCATCCATAGGGCAGATGCTGGTGAAGTTTACCTTGTTGACGCGTACGACAAAGAGAGATTTGCAGAGGCCAAAAAGGAGCTGGATGCCCTACATAAAAAAGAACAACAATACTCAACCTTGTTAACACCAGATGTTCTTTTTTTTTGAAATTGATGCTGATTATGTTAAATTTTTGTTGGATGAATTGTTTTTTGTTTTTTGGGGTTTAGAATAGGGTTTTGTGAATTGTTCCTTGTTTTTGGAATCAATATTGCTGCTGCTGAGTTATGTGTTGAAACTTGGATATAGAAAATTTTATAATAAGACCTGTTTTGATTATGAATTCGTCCTATTTTGATTATGAATTCGCTAAATATTACAGGTGTATTGTTTTCCTGCTTTGACGACCAATTTATTAGTCGCGACAAATAAAATAAGATTGTATCCAAAATGGGATGGCTCAGGAATTTCCTACCTTGAGTTTGGTCGCCAATTGAGGGTCGGCAAAAGTAATTCGCGACCAAAATTTTTGTTCGTCGGCAAAAGTTGGATTTGCCGACTAAATTTTTGGTCGCTAAATATTTAATTACCGCGACTAATTTATTTTGTCGCTAAAACACTTTGGTCGCGAAAAGTGATATTTTCCCGACCAAATTTCTTAGTTGCCAATTGTCACATTTCGCGACCAAAAAGTATGGTCGCCAATTATTACAATTGGCGACCAAACTTTTTGGTCGCGAAATGTGTCAATTGGCGACTAAGAAATTTGGTCGGCAAAAGATGACTTTTCGCGACCAAAGTGTTTTAGCGACAAAATGAATTAGTCGCGGTAATTAAATATTTAGCGACCAAAAATTTAGTCGGCAAATCCAACTTTTGCCGACGAACAAAAATTTTGGTCGCGAATTACTTTTGCCGACCCTCAATTGGCGACCAAACTAGCGACTAAAAAAATTGGTCACGGATAACTTTTGCCGATCAAAAATAGACTTTTAACGACCAATTTTTTTGTTGCTAAAAGTGTTAATTGTTGTAGTGCAAGATCACTACCTCTAGCGCAATTACCTCTCTAAAGATATTTTGGTGACCAATCTGCGTTCATTCAAGATGTGCCCAACTAGCACATTGAATCTTACAAGGGGCAAATTCATATACTACTAATAAAGCATTCTATCCACAGTCTAATGAGCAAGGTCAATGTCTAAACTACTCAGTTGACCATTTACCAAAGATAACACTTATCATGCCGAATACGCTCACATAGCGTACTTCAGGCTCCCACAAAAAAAAAAGAAAAAAGCAAGGAATATAGGTCATCTGTTTCTCCCAAAGACAATCAGAGGATTCAGTCAATAGCTAAGGCTTTGGCTTTTATCGATAGGTAAGTCAATGGGTTTACAATTTTACATCTAGAATCTTTCTAGGATATTCCTTATGTAAGTCATCAAAGACAAACCGAGAATTCTCCCCAAAACAATCCCTAAGGATCGTACATCCGAGCATATAAATTACATCATCTATGTCCATCATATCTAAAACAGAGGACTGCCCACCCTAGGTAACGACAACCTTATAAATTCCTGGCTCATAATGACTAAGTAAAGAAATCTTTTTTGGACCATTGATCATGCCTCAGTGGTCTTCATCGATCATCGTTGGCCTATTATGGCTCGACGAAATCTAAGAACCACTATTTGGATAACTGTTTTAGACTGTAAAAAATTTATTGGAACTAGCAACCTTTTTGCGTTCCTAATTTTTCACCATAAAAGCATAAGGTAAATCTCTACGGATCTACTTATCCAATTCTCCAATGAGAAGTTGGGTCACAACGTCCATAAATCAATGTTCCGAACTTATGTCAATCATAGCCTAAGTCAAAATAACCTCACTCCCCAGGAGGAAATCTTCTCATGGTCTACACCTTCGTCAATGGTGTGCCTTTTCGGTATCTAGCGAGCCTTATGCCTCAACAATGCCTATCCAAATTACGCATAACTTTAGAACAGTTTCGCGTCATAATGGAAAGTCAACCAAATTATAGAAATGGTTAATCCTCAAAGACTTTGTCTTAAACTGCGCAAAATTGATCCACTTTCTAAAAACAGGGAGTAGAGCCTTTGGCATTATCCTAGGCTCTTTATTATCTTGCGGAGCAATCATGAATGTTTCCTTCTCAATCACCCAGTGATGACGTAGAAAAATTTCACAATCGCTACCACGCAACTAAGAATGTAGAGTATTTTTCTCTAATGGATTAATGGGATAAATCCATTAGTAAGCACATCGTTCCCACTGTCCCTAGGATATTGGAAATTTCTTTCCATTCTTAACTAGGCTACATAAAGCAGTATACTTAGAATTCTCTATCTTATAGAGTTCCAAAACTCTATTCACGTCACATTTACTAAGAAAACTTTACGTGACTTAGTTACACTATCACAAAGCTGCTTACCTATATTCATATGACCCCGAGGGTTTACATGACAGCATACAGTAACGCGTCACATGACCCTAAGTGTTTACAAGACAGCATACAATAATGCGCCATAGAACCCTAGGTCTTAACTTTGCAACCTTATGAGAAGTAAAATAAAAATAAGCTGCTTAACGGTTACAGATCGCCCATAGATGGCTCTCTGCTAACCCATTACTCAAATGGAGTATAAAATCTGATATGGAGGGCACTTAGTTAGAGATATAGGCAACAAACTAGTGCAATTCCCAATTGGAAACATTTTGCGCCATCATCCACCTAACATAAACAATACTTAATTCCTTATCTCTATTACACCATTGTGTTGCTGAGTACTGGGAATAATCAATTTTCTAAGAATCCATTTCTCTCTACAAAGCTTTCTAAAATAACTCAAATAGATACTCGTCACCTTAGTCAAACTAAAAACACGAAAGTTGTTATCTAATTGATTTCAACCTCATATGTGCAATGTCAAAAATCATCTCAAAACTTGTGACTTATGGGAGATCAAATAGTCTTGACTAAGATGCGTATCATAATCAATAAATGTGTCGAGATTAAGGTTTAGC